TAAACCTCTTTTTTAAAATTGTAAATACTAATTAAGATGAAGGGCAAATGCGTAATTTTGGATTTTATTTATTTGCCATGACATGAGTTTTTAATTGTGCCCACAAATATCTCCAAATAAATTAATTTAATTTAATTATTATTTTATTGTTTCTGGAAAGAACATGACTAGGTATTTTGTTGAATTTGGGAATTTAATAAATAATTGTTCTTTTAGTCAAAGTTTCTTGAACGTGACATTTTGCTTAAATTTGGAGGGAATTTTGAATTAAATAGAAAAATTAAATTTACAATTATGCCCTTTGAGGAAATAAAAACTATATTTGACTTTGGAGATTATTTTAAATTTCCATTACACTATATTTTTTTTATATAGCTTAATTTATTTTCTATTAAAATTTAAAATGAAAATTTTTATTTATTTTAGTCTTACAATATTGATAATCCAATATTAAAAAAAATTAAATAAATACTGCGGTTATAAATTTAAATATTTTAATTCAAAATAGAAATTAATATTTAATTTCACGTTTTTTTTTTAATAAAAATATCAAAACAATATAAATTAACTTGTTTTACAAACAAAAACTATTAATTCGTAAGAATAAAATATTAATGTACTAAAGACACGAAAATATTATGTATATTAAATTAATGTATAAATTATTTGAAAATCTTGCAAAACAAACATGTTTATCTAAACAAGGATAAGAATGAAATGACCAAAACAGTCAAATTTATTTTTAAACAAAAATAATATTTAAACATAATTAAAAGACGAGATAGAGTGATGGGCGGCTTCTCGTAATCTTATTGTGTGAGATTCCACATCGATTGAAGAGAGGAACGAGTGCTAGCGAGGACATTGGGCCTCAAGGGGGGTGGATTATGAGATCTCACATCGGTTGGAGAAAGGAACGAAACATTCTTTAAGGGTGTGAAAATCTCTCCCTAGCAGACACGTTTTAAAAACCTTAAGAGGAATCCCTAGCAGACAATATTTGCTAGCAGTGGACTTGAGTTGTTAACATGGTATTAGCGGTATGCCCTTAACTTAGTCATGTCAATAGAATCCTCAAGTGTCGAACAAATAGTGTATTTTGTTCAAGACATTCAGAGAAGGAGTCGAGTCTCGATTAAAGGGAGCCTACTCGAGGGCTCCATAGGTCTGACAGGAGGTTCTATGTTCTATGATGTACTTCGTTCGACGGGAGAATTCTTTACTTATAAGAATACATCTCTATTGGTACAAGATCTTTCGGGAAAACCGAAAGCAAAACCATGAGACTTTATATTCAAAGTGGACAATATCATACCACTATGAAGAGTCGCTAGCAGGCGGCTTGTACAGTTACATGCACCGTCCATAATAGCTTAATTTTTTTTTATTATTATTTATTAAAAATGATTGGAAGTACCATTTAGTTACGGGGTGGGGAGATGATTAAGGGCACATGGGAGGGCAAAAAGGTAAAATGTAGTTGGTTTAATCATGGATGATGGAGGGAAAGGAATGCATGGTGTTGGTGGCAGGGAAATCAGAGGGATTTGGAATTTAATGATAACGGTAAGTGGGCCCCACCTTAATTAACTGACAAAATACAAAATACAATTAAAAAAAATTAGATCAATAATTTGCATTATAACAAATACAAAATGACCAAAAAGTCCACCTAATCCCCCGGACCCCTTTTTGGAATTTCACATTTGTTTTTATTTTCCATTAATTTTTACTTTTCAAAAATTAAAAAATCTAACCTTTTCCCCCCCAAAATAATAACAATAATCTTCATTTTTATTAAAAAAAAATATTTATTTATTTCAACCAATAACCATTATTTATTTTTATTATTATTAAATTATAAATTTAGCTCATGGTCCCACATGGATCATAAATATGGAGCGTTCAAGCAAGTCCATTGCTTCTACTAACCCCATGTGTCGAACAGTCTTTCGAACCTCTTCAACTATAAAACCCCACTTGAACTCCTCGAACTTTGTTAGGTCAATATTGAGCTTGAAATGACAATTAGACGAAACCACTATGGTCGATTAGGTGGAGTCATCTCCTCTCACTATGCTCGTACTAGAATTGGGGTTGTTTTATATCTCGATCTCCCATCAACTTCTTCAAGGAAGTCAAAAGGGTCATGAAGAGTCGTAAAAGTTAAAAAAACTGAGATTCTGCACCTTCTGTAGAGAAAACGACATTATTCGAACGACATGATGTCAAAATGATTCAAATCCATCCAAACGAAGTGACTCGTGAATATCCAAAGAAAAATAGTACGAAATACATGTTCGATCCATCACTTTGGTCTTTGGAGTTCTATTTGACATGGCAGCTGACACTAATGACGTGGAACTTCTGAGTCGTGGCAAAAAATAAATATAATATTATATTCAAGATTTGGAAACGAACGGCCCAGATCTGGCGGAAGGAAGACTGGCGGGAGGCGGTTGGCGGCGGCGCAGGGAACAAGAGGAGTGAGAGGAAGAAGAGACCGCCACGTCAGCATTACAACGAGCAACACACAAATATATTTAAAATAAATATATTATGCCACGTAATTAATTAGAGTCCACTTGGCATGCAATAAAATATTTGGAGAGGGTTTGCATGTTCTAAGAAATATAATTAAAAATAGTGTATGATTGAGATCATGTTCTAATTTCTATAAAGTTGTGGTTCGCCAATATTCATCACTTCGACAATATTTTATATTAAACATTTCAATAACTTCCAAAGTCCAAAGCTTAATTAATTAAAATAATTAGATTCTTTTTATTTATTTATTTTTTAAAAAAATCTTAATTTCCAACTCACGTAACATTATCTATAACGAGAAAGATTTAAATATTTTTTAAACCTCGACTCACATTTAATTTTATGTGTTTTTATTTATATTATCACGTTCACTCGTTAATTTTACTAGTTATTTAAACAGATAAATGGGAACAGAACCTTCCACTTCAACGTTAAATTTTTATAAAGTTAATTAATTATTTTTTTTTGTCACGTGGTCGATATCAATATTAAATATTAAATATTAAAATAAGTGACTTGAAGCGTAAGATATTAGGATGAAAGAGACAATTCTTATGAAATAAGTCGAAATAAGTGGGAAATAAGTTGTAGCTATATTTGCAATCTAGTCCCTTGAAAGTTTTTCAATAATTGCAATTTCACCCGTTTCAAATTATAATTGGAACATTTGGTATATTAAAACCTATAGAGTAGAGTAATACATTATAACATATCAAATTATTTGATAAAATTCAACATTTTACTCAATTTGATTCATCAATTATTGAATCAATATTCAATATCTGTTGAACATAATTCAATCGTTATTAATTATCATATTTGTAATTATAAAATTTAATCGTCAATATAAGTATACCTTTAAACCATAATATTTCCCGTTTCAATAAATAAAATACAACATATATTCATGGACCGAGGATGACACAATCGTAGCAAAAGTATATTTTTTAAAATTTAATAATAAATAATAAATTCGAGAAGCAAGGATAAAATATAAATAAGGTAAAGATTTGTGGGATATATGAAATATTTATTTATTTATATTATAGTTTTGGTGATGAGAAGTCATGTGGAATTTGGACACATTTTAATGATGCAATATAATGGTGTAGGGAACATGAAACTCCGACAAAAACTTACTCTCTCCTCTCTCTCTTAATAATAAAATGGAATAATTTCAATTATTTTGTTTTTTTACTTTAAAAGTACTTTCCAATTTTATTATTTTGTGTTTATTTTTCCAGTTGCTTATTTAGTATTTCTCATTTTATTTTATATAAATTAGATGTTATATAAAAACTTTATAATATAAAATATATTCATTTGAAATTGATATAATCTAGAGTTTCATTTCATTTATAAATAAGAGACCCGTCCCTCTAAACGGGGAGTGAAAATGAATTTTCTTTTTATTAGCTAAATGGAGCTAGAAGGGAGGATTATATTATTTGTCCCGATAAACCGCTTCAAAAAATAAAAAAAATAAAAAAATATATATAATATATATATCCCACGTTGGTTGGGTGGAGAGCAAACCACCATCTATAAGGGTGTGAAAACCTTTCCCTACTAGACGCGTTTTAAAGCCTTGAGGGGAAGCCTCAAGGAGGACAATATTTGCTGTGGTGGATCTAGGGTGTTACAAATGGTATCAGAGTCAGACACCGGACGATGTGTTAGCCTTCTCACTGTTCTCCGAAGGGAGGTAGACACGAGGCAGTGTGTCAGTAAGGGCGCTAGCCCCCAAAAGGGATAGATTTGGGGGCAGTCCCACATTGATTGGAGGAAGGAAAGAGTGCCAGCGAGGACGCTGCGCCCCGAAGGAGGTGGATTGTGATGTCCCACATTAATTGGGGAGAAGAACAAACCACCCTTAAACCTTCCCCTAGTAGACGCGTTTTAAAGTCTCGAGGGGAAGCCCGAAAGCCACAATATTTATATATACATATATAAAAGCTCAAAATATTAGATTAGCTTACGTGGCGTTCCTATTACCTTGTAATAGGAGGTTTAGGCTTAGGCTCTTCTTTTTCAGACACAACATATAGTTTCACGTTTCCCACATACATTCTATTCTCTGTCCAATTATAATTGCACGCCCAAGCCTTTGCCAAATAACCCATCTAAATAACTATTCTTTTTCTCTAACCAATGGAAACTCTCCACGTGTCCCTTAGTTCCTTGAGTTAATAAATTATTCGCAGAAAACCTCACAAAGTTATATTTTTAACCCTAAAATAATATTTCCGGTCATATGCACGTTGGACTTTTAAGAGAAGCCCATTAATCTATCTAATCTGGTTTACTGGGCAGAAAATGGCCCAATTATCATAAATGGGCTTCTGAAGTCCAAAGGCCCAATTAACTTTCTATTTTTATTTTTTGAAGATACATTGGAACCGCTCTAACTTTCTATATATTTTATAAAAAGAAAAAACAGTTAAATCAAAGAATCAAAGAACTCGAAACGAAAATCATCAAGAACAAAACCCTAAATCAAAAACGCATTCAACGTAAATCAACTAACCGATCAGAATGCGAGCAATTTCAATAATAGCTTCCGTTGATCATCAGCTCGAATTTCTTCAGTGATTCCTCCCTCTGCAGCCTCATTTCTTCCCTAAACTTCTCTATAAACGCCTCCACCCGCCGGTTTAATTCCTCCTCCGTCACAGATGGCATTTTTCTCACTCTCGCCGCCGCCGCTGACTGTCTCAACTCCTGGTTCTTGTCGTTGCTCTTGAAGCTAGTTTCCGATTTCGTTACTTTTGGAGGGCTGTTGTTTTGGCCTATGGCGGTTTCTTCTTCTTCTTCTTCGTTCCGTGTGGTATGCGGCTCACACGTATTGGATTTATCTAACCGTCTCGAGAACGGTGCAGAATGGCCCTCCGTTATCGCGTTCCACGCGTCGTCCAACGTGTCGTGTCTGTTTATCGTGGACCATCTCGACGTCGTCCCTGCGTCACGAATTCACCCTCCGAATATCGAATTAATTACGGTTCTGCCATCTGTTAATCAGTTTCTGAAAAGAAAATTATAGCGTGGAAGAGTGAGAGGAAAAACACTAGAGAATCGCACCTGCAGGAGTAGTAGCAGCTTTTGCAGCTTTCCGATTACGGATCTTCGAAGAAATCGGCGGCTTCTTATCGTACTTCTGCAACAAATTCTCCACCGAATCCTCTTTTTGCAATCGGCTCCGATCAGTCTCGCCGTTTCCATCATTTTCTCTGTCTGAAATCTTGGAGTACAATTCCGCATCCGATTTCTCTTCATCTTCCGAAACATCCGCCGCGAAGTCTTCGTCCGCATCGCGACCGCTCTTCTCGAGAACATCGCCGACGGCTCTAATAACTGTGAAATCTGCTCGTGAATCATCGTACAGCTTCGGCACCGTCGTCGGCGGAGGATCTACCAGGTACTGATGAAGCTTGGAAGAGGCAAGAATACTGACGATAATAAAGTTAAATAACAAGTAAAGGTAAGGAGGCCTTAACCATAAAACGATGGAGCTCCAAACGGCGGGAACGTAAGAGACGAGGATGTCGACAACCAGAGGAACGTAGAACTTCAGAATCTCCGCCATTGATAGAATGGCGGAGGAAAGGAGTAGGAGCTTGAGGGATAGAATCCATAGACTGTTTGAAGTCATTAAGTAGAGCATATCGTGTTCTTCTGATCGGCGGTTCAGAGAAAGGTCGAGAGAGGGAGGGCTTTGGTTTACAAAATACTCGAAATATGAGGGACTTCGCGACTATTTATTTAATTTGTGTTAAAATTATTTTGATTAAAAATTTCCAAAATTGTAACATTTTAATTTTTTTTATCTTATAAAACTTTATTATAATAAACACAAATAAATGTTAAACTATAACATTTTAATTTTTTTTTATCTTATGAAACTTTATTATAAAAAAAACAAATAAATTTTAAAACAACACTTCCTTTTTCCTAATTTATAAATAAATTTTAGTTCATATGACTAAAATGGTTCTAATTTTAATTTTAACCTTATACCAGTTTAGCAAATTTATATATACTAATATAATAGCGTATCAATTGCTGAGTACGAAGCAAGCCAGTATTAAAATTAAAATCGACTATTTCTTCTTTGAAATATTAGTAAATAACATTTTATTTGAAAATATTTGATTCAGTTAAATTATAAGCTTAGAATATTATATAAATATATAAATTTAGGGTTGTCCTACGAGAGAATTTATAGTAAATCTTATTGTCTATAAGTTTAATAAGGATTCAAAGATTAAATCTAAAATATGACAATTTATACTACCATGATTTTCGACGAACCAATCCATCTCCAGTATTATATCGAAGTCCGTCATGCTAACAATTATTAAGTCTACGCTTAACGTTTGTTTGACTACTGTTACTTGGCCATCTTTTACTCTATCCTTTAAATCTACCCGCTAGGGCTTACAGATAATACCTGCAATAAGGGTTCCAATTCGAACCTCGATACGTTTGTTTGACTACTGTTACTTGGCCATCTTTTACTCTATCCTTTAAATCTACCCGCTAGGGCTTACAGATAATACCTGCAATAAGGGTTCCAATTCGAACCTCGATTGTCTAACCGATGGAACAAATATGAGAGAATACGTAGAATCATAATCAAATATGGTGAGAGCTAAATAACACTGGATGACCAGCATAATACATAAGCGTTGAATTATTGTAAAATTTACGGACTTACTATTTTCTTTTAACTATATTACAATTCATAGATTAGAGATTAGAAATTTGAATTTGGTAGATAAAAGAGAGAGACAGTACAATTGAAAGTGAGCTATAATCTGAAGAACAATATAAAGGAAGAGCACCAATTGATCATCATATCAAGTTCTCAAGAACAACCCTTTTGAAGCAAACACAAGTACTTAACACAAGTGTGTTCATGGCTAAATCAAGTATTAAGAACAACTACAAATGAAAATCAAATCAAGAGCATTAAATAAAAGCAACTAAAAAATGGTATAGATGATAAAATCATATTAATCTAATCCCTTCTTTATTGGTCAGCTACTCATAATAATACAAATGAAGAAATCACTCACTCGAAAAGGAACAAACAATATAAAAATATGAATACTGAGACTGCCTCTCTACAAGTAATATAGTTTACAATCCCCACTACAGGTGGAAAAATTGGGCACTTCTAATCTTTCTGCGACTTAACTTTCTTGGTATACCACCAACCAAATCATCCCACCATCATAATCATCCTTAATCCAACACCAGTGTTTAATGTTTTGAAAACATACCTTGTGTTAAAGACGAGAAGTCGTACTCTTTTCCTGACTGCGACTGCAAAGGAGTCGCTGATGGTATCGACGCAGACGATTGAGTTTTATTTTTCGCTGTGGGGGTCACGCCATTAGCTGGCACTGAAGAAACTTGGCTGAGGCTATAAAGGCTGCAAGAGAAATATGAGAACGAATTGATAGAACATCATCATTATGCTTATGCTTTGATAGAACAGAGCCTCGAAAATGGAAATAAGCACAAACTGCAACTTATTTGACAACTTTTTTTCATGAAAATCTTTTACTCTCGAGCTGAAAACGTTTTGTATCTTGAACTTTGAAGTGTCTTTCAGAACTTCGAATTTCGTTGGTATCATAAAAAGGTATATAATTGCCTACCTAGATGTTGGATATGGAACAGAACTCCCAACTGGATTTGCCAGCCCCCTGTTCATCATCTAACTTGCAAAATATCGATAAGAACAATTAGAAACTATGTGGATGATTCTCAATTAAGTTAGCTTCAAATGAACATCATAAGAACAGTTTCAACTACCTGCACTGTAGTTGTCGGCCCACCCTGGGCACCTATTTGCATCATCAATCCAGGAATCGGGTAGACAACATTTGGCCAACTTTGAGGAGGAACATTGGTGCCATTGGGGACAGAGGTTTGAGTATTGCTAAATTTTGTGTCCCCAGCAGCTGATTTAGCTGCAGCAGCCATGAGAAGTGATTGTTGTTGAGCTAGCATGGCAAGTTGCTGTTGATGCATAGCAAATGGAGAGACCATATTGGACTGCAGGTATTCAAATCAAAATATCAAATGCAACTGTCAGTAGAAGAAGAACTCCTCTTTAATCAAGTAGCTGTTTTACATATAAATTTTGTACAACTAAATAGCTTAATTCAGACAAAATTAAAATAAAGGAATAAAAATAGCTCTTTCAATTGAAAATACCACAAGATGTAGAAAACAAATAATTCCACCTCAAAAGTTTGAAGTAGAGAAGTAGCAAACTTTACTGAAAAGAACAGTATCGAATCTTATGAGTGATAATGAAATGTTTACCTTTTCGAAAAGACTCATTATATCATTTTTAACATCTTTCGAAGGTTTTTCGGGAACTAAAGCAGGTGAAACTAAAGTTGTATCTTTGAAAAGATCCTCAATTCCAGAAGAGGGTTGGGTAATGGCTTCAGCTGGCTTAGCTGGACCAGGTTTCTCTGCTGATGATGCTTCTTCAGCAGCTGTAACATTGAACATATATCTAAATAATTTCTGAAATATTTAAAAATACACGCGCAAGGAAAAGTTAAAAACATACACTGGAAGCCAGCCCATGCACTATCATCTGTAGAAACTGCTACTGAACCATCAGAGGAAGGGCTATCAAAGGATAACATGTTGAAGAGGTCAGTAGCATAATCAACTTTTGGAGGAGAGACAGCCGGGGCATCATTTGTAGTCTGTTTCGTTGCTTCGGCTTGCTGTACAACTGGTTCAGGTTTTGGATCTTGGCGTGGTATGGGGGCTGGAGCAACCTATACAAATATAGACAACAAATGTATTAGAAAAATCTTACCACATTTAGTTGCAAGGTTTAGATTTTAAAAAAGGTCGAAAAAAAAGATGGACATAATCATAGACCACTGTCCAGTTAACCCTGAATTGAGCGGAGGCAACGCCATAATAAATAAAATCAAAATGACTCATTCGTGAAAACACTACTAATTACATTATTGATGGCTTAACAAATAATAGCACACACATATTCTCTTTAATTTTGAATGAATAACCGTTGAAATAAGCACAAGTAAACAACTATAAGTTCATTGAGTAGTAAAGAAGTAATATTATGAAATGAACTTCTAGCTACATAACTAATTTACATCACAGTTTCGGCGTACTTTTTCTCTTCCACAACATGTCCTAAATCAAAAGTAATTTTCACATGATGAAATTCGTTATAGAACTCTTAGCAGAAACATCCAATTTTTAAGTAAGGAAGTTAATAAACAGGAAAGAAAAGCCAACATACTTGTTCAGGTCCTCTGGGAGGAACCGGAAGAGTAACTCTAGAGGCAGGCATACTCTCCTTCACAATATGAGATCGAACTCTCTTCCTTTCCTCGAACAAATTTTCAGAATGACCTGAATACCCTGACCCACTTCTTTCTGCAGGCCTCTGCCCATGCAAAGAAGGCTTTTCCTCCTGTACTCGAGAAGGTGACTTTGGTTTTCCATCCTTAGCAACCCATCTCTTGTCTTCATATCTGTAAAATTTGCATAAAGCAGAGTACTTTTAAACCTCACGATACTGATAAACATTACTGATGCAGTATAGTTGTATTGTAAGAGAATGTTAATGGGTAAATATAACTTTAAACTCCAAACGAACATCTATTAGAAGGCAGGCAAACTCCAAACATACTTTGCACGAATAAAATTCTCAATCCCAACTCTGTCATAATTTGGTGGTAGCTCCGCCTCCCAATAACTGTTTGCCATCTCATTCCCCATTGCTACAAAAACACAATCTTGGTAAGAAAAGAAATCAATATTGACCGAAAAAGATAAACTATAGGTTGGAAAGCATACACTGAATAAAAGTAACCTGCTCTGGAAGCCAAGTATCCAAGGTAGCCGACCGTACCTGAAAAAAGAACCATCAAACCATAAGACTACTTGCCAACATGCTAGCGGTATAAGAAGTTGAAAGATTTATCATTAGAAGATGAAAGTATTTAAGACATATATTGATGCCTAAAATACTAAGACAAATTGAATTTCTCAAGGAAAAGTTACTCAAAGGATAGAAGCAACAATTGAACCAATTACCGGTGTCATAAGGAATAACTGCCAGTCAAGATAAAAGACGAATACGCAAGCGATATTTTTAAAATATAATCATGGAAATGGTCAAGACGAAGAGATAGGCATGCATATCTTCGCTATACTGACTAATACATCCCATGCATAATTCCAATGTCGTCAGTATTTCCAAGGGAGTGAAGAATTCTTTTTCTTCAGCTATTTATAAATAAAAACACTACCTTTGATATGTGAACACCAAGACTTCTGTGGATCCCAGAACATTGCATACATATAAAAATGCCTAAATTAACACTAGCCCATCGTGGTCCCCTGAAAAAACAGAAATCAATTATCATGCATTTATTCGAAATAGCATTGGGCTAGTTACGGTGTAAAATAGGACTTGCTTCAGTACTACAACGGTGAGAACGATAAAGAATTGAGAAAACATACTTAGCTTTGCAATCAGCACACTCCCTATTTTCCGGCAGCTTAAGAAGCCCTTCTAATATCTGCACATAATAAGAGCATAAAAGGTAAGAATTTCATCAAACAACCAGTTTATTGACAATGAAACGAAAGGAGCAACCACTAACTAGAAAAAGGGTGTGTTGAACAGAAACTTTCGAAATCTAACTCGACAAATCTTTATTCACGTATATAACTCAAGTACATCGTTATCAATCACAAGTACACGTAAAAATGATTGTGAAGCAACCTATGATTGGAGGTAAAAGGAACACGAGTGCTCTAACTCGGCCACTCGGGTATATAGGCAATCAACTTATTTTGTTCCATCCCATGGTTATGAAGAAACCTATGACGCATTGAGATTCGGGGTAAGTTCTATGAAAATGGTTGTGAATGAAGTTTGTAACAAATGTGAGACTCCGGTATCATGTACTACTAAAACACCAAGCAACTGGAATTCTGTAAAATCCAAATTACTCGAGCGGACACTTCATTCCAAGAACACTAATTTAATTAAAAGATTTGTCACTTCTCAAATATATTTGACTAACAAGTTCAATTCCTTCCTCCTACCCAGGACCGTGGTACAAAAGGAACAATTTGCCGAATAAGAAATATGATTATTGTATGTAACTACAACACTCGAATTATAATTAGGACAATTGCGCTTAAGAAATTGATATAGACGCGATCATCAAAATCACAAAATGAGGTTACTCGAACTCATACGCAATCGACGTTATAGTTTGAATCAGATGCGTCAAGAAACAAAAAACTGAAATCCACCAGCCAGAATCCAATCAAATCCTCAGAAGGCAGCAAAAAGACCGCAAGAAGACAAAACTAAAACAACAAATTGCTAATCCAAACGTCGGATAAAATGCAATTGATCCACATACGAAGATCAAACCAACCGCATCCCAAATCCATAACCATTTCGTTCGATAACATACAAAAGAAAAAAGAAAAATCCAAATCTACACCTCATAACAGCGAATTCAAACATAATAAACAAGTAAAAAGAAGTCGTCTCTGTTAAACTGATCAACAACCAAGGAAAAGAAGCGGATGACTGGGAAGAAACACCGACAAATTGAATCCTGCAAAGATTCATGATCCGAAGAAGAAAACGTGAGAGGATGGAAAAGGGAAAGGGGAAGGAGTACCTTTCTGTGCCTGGCGTTGAGCTCCTTGGTAACGTTGGCCTTCTCATTCATGATGAAACGGGGAGGGGGCGGAGTAGAGAGGAGGAGGAGGAGGAGGAGGAGGAAGAAACAGCCGGACACGGAGGTCAGATTGGTCTTTCAACGCACTTTTCTCTCTCCTCTCTCTCTCTCTCTCTAGAGTGATTTTTTTTTAATTGTTTTTTTTCTCTCTCTAGCCTTTCGTCTCGCCTTCCGATTATTTTGAAACCGAAAAGACAGAGGAAGAAGGAAAATAAGGGCACTTTTTTTTTTTCTTTTTTATTCAATTTAAAATTATTATTATTATTACTATTATATATATATATATATATATATATATATATATCACAATAATTACGTCATAATTCTTTTTCTAATTATGTAAGACTTTGAGAAGAAAAAAAAATTATTTAGAAAATTTAAAATAGAATCATGCAAAATATCTGTAAATTGATATAATAATAATAATAATAATATATTTTTTTTCTTTTGGTCTAAATAGTTTCCAGTGATTATTTGAATGCTGGTTAAGACAGGGGAGCGTTCAAGAGCTGTGCGGTCATAAAGGAGGGTCATCTCCGAGTATTTGTTTTATGTTGAGGACTTGTGTCCTTTAAAATATTGTTTCTCGAACCCTGATCCCCGTCTTATAATAAAACTTGAACCAGCTCTTGATTTGTATTTGTATTCTTTTTAATTCATTGTTTTTTTGTTTTTTAAATTTTGTAAAAAATTTACTATACGTGTAGTATTAGTATGATATGAATTCAACTATTTGACCTTTTGCATGTACCCGAAGCACCGATTACAAGAAACAAGATTAAGAAAGAGGCCTATACATTGCATTTTCACAGGCTAGCTAATGTACAAGTTGAACCCAAAAGTCTTTATAGCATTACTATATCAAATCAAGAAAAGAATGAAGTGGCTGATATTAGAAAATGATTATAATACTTTTGCCTTTGGTATTGAACTAACAATTTATGTCATGCCTTATTTTCTTTTATTGGTAGCTGCAGTTTGTAGTTGGTATATGAACTTTATTATGTTCGGGTTATCTTTTTGGTCCGTTGAAAGACATGTAATGTTCATGTTTGAGCAGCAATGGTTGAATACAAATAAAACCTTTATATTTTCTTGATACTTTTTAGTGTTATTTTTTTTCAAACCTTGCTTGTAGGTTTGATGTTAAAACCGATTCATTGAATTAGCTCGATAGTTTTAATCAAGCTAATTCTTGAGTGAGTCATCTTAGATCTAAGAGTGACCATCATAGATTTCAAGTTCAATCTAAGAGTCATTCATCTTCTAACCAGCTCTTTGTTGAAATCAATTCGTTAAGTTAGATTTGTTTATGAACGTTTACAGGGATTCTAGAAGGACCTCTAGCTTTGCAAACTCCAACATTATTGGCACTTGTCACGTCCATAATTTCAATTAAAATTTTACTTAAATTGACCCAACACTAATTAATTTCACATAATTAAAAAATTGTTTTTACTTATAAATAGAAATAATTATTTAAGCTATGTATTATTTATGCCAATTAAAAAATTATTATGGTTGTTGTTGTTATTATTATTATTATTATATTTTACTAATAAACACTAAACTAATATTTTAACCTCCACTATAAATTAAAAGTTGACGTAAATAAACTAATAAATAAATAATTAAACAATCTAAAAAAAGAAATAATTACGATAATGGAAAATTGACGTAAGCACCACTGGTTGACATTAACAGAGTGGGATATCGAACAAGAGCCATTGGTGTCCACGTGGCATCCACCTTAGCTCAAATATTCTCCTTAAAACATGTTTATATATTTTAATTTTTTAATTAAAAAAATTAAATTATAAATTTAGTTTTTATATTTCACCGTCTGAATTTTTAATATCCTTATTGAATTTTTAAAAAATTTAATGAATTATTAATATATTCGAGAAAAAAAAAATAAAAATAAACTGATTTATTAAATATAAAATTAAAAATTGTGTCTAATTTGTTGGATGATGAAAGTCCCACGTCAGCTAATTTAGGGAATGATCATGAACAAAGAATACTCTTCCCATTGGTACGAGACTTTTTGGGGAAGCACAAAGCAAAGCCACGAGAGCTTATGTTCAAAGTGGACAATATCATTCCATTGTGGAGAGTCGTGTTCGTTCTAACATGGTATCAGAGCAACGGGCAGAGCCCCGCGTCGACCTTTTATCTAATAAATGCATCCCTTCCAGAAGTCGGGGTTTGTTGCACGTATTAGCTCTAGAATTACTACGGTTATCCGAGTAGCAAATACCATCCGAAGTAGTGACAATAAATAACAATACCGGGCTCTTCGAGTATGGTAATTGGAATGAGTACAATCTAAATCGCTTAACAAGGATCAATTGGAGGGCAAGTCTGGAGCCAGCAGCCGCTGTAATTCAAGCTCCAATAGCGTATATTTAAGTTGTTGCAGTTAAAAGCTCGTAGTTGGACCTTGGATTGGGTCGATCGGTCCGCCTATGGTGAGCACCGATTGACTCGTCCCTTGCTTGTCTCAAAGATTAAGCCATGAGAGCTTATGCTCAAAGTGGACAATATCATACCATTGTGGAGAGTCGTGTTTGTTCCGACATAATTAAGAATTTTTTAAAACATTATTGCATAAATGGAGGATTTATTAAATATAAAATTAAAAAAATTATTACAAGTATAACTATATATAATTATATTAAGAATGTTGTTATTAATATTAGTATTTACCGACTCACCGAATAAACCCGAGGAAAAGCGGGAAAAGATTGGAACAATAAAACGATGTCGTTTCAATGGCAAGCAACGGCATACGTTTAGAGCTTCTGCAATAGCGATCCTAGAGGTTCTGTGCTGCTGCTGCTGGGGGTGCTGAAGTTTGGGCAGCGACGAAGCCGGTGAGTTCTTAAGGTTTTGTTTTTGTTTCTGATTTTCTTTAGGTTAAAGTTTTAGGATTATGGAGAATTTTCTGTTTGGTTGCCGAGAAAGAGATCGGGAATTGATTTTTCTCGAGGCGGGTGAACTTGGTGAATATTGATTCTGAACCTGTAATAGTTCACTTTGATTTGGAATCGTTTTCTCTCTGTTGCGGAGGAATCTGGAGTCGTTTGTGTCTTTGAAACCTTCTTTATCGTGATTCGCAGGCTATAGGACAGATTTCTTAGTGAATGAACAAAAAATGGAATTGGCTGCATTTAGGGTTTTCTGCTTCATGTAGTTATGGCGATTCTTTGATTTGGTTTTTCTGTTCGTGTGATGGTTTAGTTCTTGACTTAAAATTTTCACTAAATATCCGATTGGAGATCGGTTTGGGAATGGAATATGAGTAAGTGAATGAAGTTGAGAAACCTCCTGGAGGATGATTTTCTATCCATTTGTATTTGTTAGTTTCCTAAACATTTAGTCGAATCGTTGCATTGTTTAATGTACGAGAACTTAATCTTTGTGAAAGCTTAAGGGCTCAAAATGAGTTTAAGCTTCTTAATTAGCAGTAGCTGTCGTACTGGTCATGGTTTTCATTATAGATTAGGTGAGATCTCACGTCGATTGGAGAGGAAAATGAGTGCCAGTGAGGACGCTGGGCCCTGAAGGGGGTGGATTGTGAGGTTTTCATTATAGATTAGGTGAAATCCCACCTCGATTGGAGAGGGGAATGAGTACCAGTGAGGACGCTGGGCCCTGAAGGGGGTGGATTGTGAGGTTTTCATTATAGATTAGGTGAGATCCCACGTCGATTGGAGAGGGGAATGAGTGCCAGTGAGGACACTGAGCCCTAAATGGGGTGGATTGTGAGGTTTTCATTATAGATTAGGTGAGATCCCACGTCGATTGGAGAGGGGAATGAGTGCTAGTGAGGATGCTGGGCCCTGAAGGGGGTGGATTGTGAGATCACACATAAGTTGGAGAGGGGAACGAAGCATTCTTTATAAGAGTGTGAAAACCTCTCCTTAGCAGACGCGTTTTAAAATTTTTGAGGGAAATCTCGAAAGGGAAAGCCCAAAGAGGACAATATCGGCTAGCAGTGGGCTTGAGCTGTTATAGATTAAGTGCTTGCTTTTCTGAGATTGGATACTTTCTTTTCTCTGAGATTGGATAGTATTATGACTTCGAGTACCATTTGGGAGTTTGTTTTCTTCTGGTGATTTGAGGGAGATGAACCCTAATCCAATGCAGCATTTGTTAGTTATACAAACACACATTCTTTGTTATGATGTTTATATTTGTATATCAATTTCGATGACCATATGTAGATTATCTGGCTCATCGACCGATAATGGAAGGTAAAGTCAGTGTCTCGCCTAAAAACAACGGGAAACAAATGGGACATCAAGAGGCGAAGGTGGTTGTTCAGGAAGAAATGAAACGAGTTCAACAGCTTCCTTCTAACAGCACCTATGCTACTCATCGGTTGCGGGTTTTAAACAAAATTCTGCAGCTTTTATCAATTCAGGTATCATGAAACTGCAGAAATCGTGTAATCAGTTCATGTTGATAATTTTGTTGAGTATAAAACTATATTTGCTCTCTATTACTCTGGGTTCGCAGTCTTAAATAGTATCTGTTAGCCATATTGTTCGAATATCTGTTGTGTTTCGAAAGGGACGTTTTGAAAGGATTGCAAAGGAAATTGATATTTCCAACAAGAATTCGTTGCTAATGCCTAATGGTTTGATTGCTTACTTTAGAGTTTATTTATTTGTTCATTTTTTCATATTGATGTCTTTAGGTTTCATATTCATTTTAAAGCTTAAAAGATTTCCACCCGTGAAAAAACAACTTGGGACGTATCGCTCAAATCATTGGTCCGGTACTAGATGTAGCTTTTCCCCCGGGCAAAATGCCTAATATTTACCATGCTTTGATAGTTAAAAGGTCAAGATACTGCCAGTTAAGAAATTAATGTGACTTGTGAAGTACAACAATTATTAGGAAATAATCGGGTTAGAGCTGTAGCTATGATTTCAAGTTCAATTTCACAATTTTCTTTCGGTCAATTTTCTGTTCATTTAGTGTAGAATAACATCATGAAAAAGATCTTAGTTTCGTTCCAAAAGAGCATATACTCGATAATTTTAACACGTGCTGTTCTGCAGTCGAGTCATAAACGTTATCATGGTTGCAGAAATTTCTTGGAAGTTAGAAGTAATGTGAAATTCATCATTTGAACTCGGAATTTGATATCATTTCTGTT